ACAGTGTCTCGTTGTCCAGGTACTCTGTTTCAACCGAGAAGACACTAGAATATTATTAAAATCGAAACTATGCACGGTTGTTATGTGACAAAAAAAACATTTTGTGTTAGTGACAATATCTCTTGAACGAAAAATGATAAGAAGTCGGAAAACGTCTAGTTCTCAGAAAAATAGCCTGTTCTATAAAACTGTCGAGGAAAAGTTCAGTATTAATAAATTATAGTGTTTTCTCTCATCGTACCCGAAACAATGTCACTTTCGTCGAGACGACGTTTTCGCAGATTTTTTTTATTAAAATCAAAACTATGCAAGGTTTTTATGCGACAAAATTTTTCTTATGATGCTATTTGCAAGAGCACGAAAAACTCTATATTTCAGACTAGTTTTGCTTCAGACAGAAGAAATTTACACGAAGTTTAGAAAAACGTTTTCGAAATTATACTCTAAAAAAAAATGCGACCTAGGGTCAGGTTTAGACAGTGTCAATATTCTAGTGTCTTCTCAATTGAAACAGAGTACCTGGACAACGAGACACTGTAGTAAAATTTATTTTTCCCAGAAATATGCCGAATCTAGCTAGATGAATAAGTATTTAAACTTTGTACGTCGTTTAAACAAGCTAAAAAACAAAAAAAGCTCTACTGAATCTATAATTTTGCACAGCGAAAAGATTCCACTTTTTGATACAAATATTACTTCGAGCCAACCGAACATCGTCAAAAATTTTGAAGAGCGCATTCGGAAAGAAGAGAGTCTGTTCTACAAACATCACATATCGGTTTCTTTGAGAAAAGCGTAGTGATCTCACAAGGACCCGAACATTTCATGCATATAGAGTGAACCATAACATAATGTTTTTAGTATACGCCACTTTCGTACAGCAGAGCCTTATTGGTACGAATTATAGCTAGACTTTGCCTAATTACCATTTGAGAGGAAAATCTTCAATTTACAAAATGAGACGTTTCCCACTTCTGTACGTTTCTCAGCTCAAGCGGTATGACTTTCACAAAGCGTTGCGGACTTATGTTTTTGACGGACACGCATAGACAGGCCATGTACGGATAACGAATAACATATGTTTCGGCTCGATTTTAGTTAGAAATGTGTCATACTATACTTTTGGAAAATTTATTAAAGAATAATCAATCTGTCGTTGTTATTTTTTCGTTTATACTTTTTTTAGAAACAATCCACAACGCCTCCACTATCGACATCGAGTACTCAAAGTAGTGCAACCGGAAGTCTTGATGGTTTAGATAATCAATCACGTTCAGATTCAAATTCAACAATATCTTCAATATCATTTGTTCGTGAAACAATTAAATCTAATGAGCCACGTTCAGCATCAACTATTGCATATCTTTTACAAAGTCAATCCTGTGTCTATGAAACATATAAAACCATTTTTCTTAATCACGTAAGTTTGTTTGCACAACTAACAGAAAGATAATTATCAATTTAATTACTTTACCAACAAATATTATCATTTTAGTTTCACATCAACTATTATGGAAAACATGAGAGAGAAGGATGTTTCATAGCATCTGTACGCCATTTTTCAAAATCATCAGATCTACAAAATGGAAAAATATCGAATTCAGAAAATGATATTCGTGAAAATTCATCAGAGCACGAAGTTCATGCAATTATAAGGTAATACTTAAAAATACGAATAACTTTAATTCATTTTTCTGTTACATATTGTATAGGACTCAGTTAAATAGCTATTATCGAAAACAAGTGACTACTGGAAACGACGATCAGGTTCTACGAACAATATTTGAAAGCGTTCAAATGTATCCCCTAATAAGATTTGAGCCAGTAGGCGATTATAAGGTATTTAAGTAGAATTCATAGTTAAATATTTTCACTTAATTATCTAATTTTTTAGGCCAATGATAAAATTTATCGTTTTGATAAACGAAATGATGAAAGACAATATTGTAAAATTGGCGTATACTATCAAAAATTAGGCCAGGTGAACATGAGTCTTTTTTCAACTTAATAGAAGAATTCATTATAAAATTCTTTTTGTTATAGGATACAGAAAATGCAATATTAAGTAATAGATTTCAATCAAAATATATGGAAAACTTTTTAAATTTAATAGCAGGAGAAAAAGTTCGTTTGAAAGGATTTAAAAAGTGAGTATTATATTATGATAAATCATTTCATTATCAACAAACTAAACAATCGGTTTGCTTACAGTTACAAAGGTGATCTTGATGTCAAAGAAGATCTACATGGTTTATATTCTTATCATACTATTCATGAACAACATGAAATTATGTTTAACGTTGCACCAATGATACCAAGTTCGATTGGGATAAATGGAGAATATGTTGAACGTAAAGCACTTATGAATAGTCCAAAATTATGTAAACTAAATCTCGCAAGACTATTACTTATAGTGATTGTTCGCATCGTTTTTGAATAGAGTCATACCTGGAAATTCTTTTGTTTGTATCATTTTCCAAGGTAAGTCAAAAAACTACAATGATTAACAAATATATTTTCTTCTTCGATGACTGTGTCATGTTTCTGATTTCTCCTTGTTTTTACACCTTCTAGATCCTGGTGCGGACTTTAAACCAGATATAATGGCTGGTAGAGTAAATCAAGTTTATATAACTGTACAACCAACAAATATATCATTAAATATTGATGCAAATGCGTACAGCATACCGTCCGAGCAATTATATTATAAAGTATATATAGGTTTTTACACAAAATAATTTGATTTGATTGAAAATTAATTGATTGAAAATTTGACTAAAAAAATTGATTGCGTTCTGTAGTTCGTAACTTTAAACAAAATGATTTATCTTCATATCTGTCTACTTTATTTCTAGATCGAGATATGGAAACGTCCTGATGTGCCAGACATTCATCCGTCCGGTGGCACGTACAAACACGATGATTCTATACGCGAATACATACTTACGTTGATATTGAATAGTGTACATTCAGCGGTCGAAACACCATTCTTAAAACCGCGCATACCAGAACCGAGACAGAGAGCAAAACACGAAGAATTAAAACTATTATGCCAGGAATTTATTCAATCAGTGGATCACTTATCACCATTAGTGCGAGATTTCGAAGACCAAGACCTGGCGCCGTATGTTCACCATCCAAACACGATTTCTCCCCAAGATCAAGACGAACTAATATCACCATCACCTTGTGGTCCAATATCACCAACTAGTAATCAGTCACCTCCTAAATCGCGACTAACTTTTAAGAAAATATTTAGTGCAATAAGTGGTGGTCCAACAAAAGAAAACAAGTCAAATACAATCAGTCATTCGCAGTTGTATCAATATTCATCCGATTATCCTATGTCAAAATCAGGAAAAACTAGAGCACCGAGTGTAAGTATTTTCGTTAACTAATTCAGCTCAACTCAGGATCCTTATAGTCGAGTTGTGTTCAGATCAAGTTGCAGGTCTCTAATCGATACTGAAAAATGACGGAATCATTATTGTTTAACATTTATACTCAATCGATCTTTTACTTGCATTTTGCAAGAGACGTTCTTGCTCTGTATCATTTCATATGTAAAAATGGGCCTAGGATTTGATAAATTTTATTTTTTATCCTGCATATTCGTAAGCAACTTCAATAATATCTTATTTTTTAATGAGAACTCAACTTTTAGGCACTGCACATCTTTCCTCATTGACAAAACTTTTTAAAAGACAGTGCAGGATTGTAACATTCATCAAATATGTGAAAAGTATCAACAACTTCTTAATAGCTCGTAACACAATTGACTAGCTATCTACAATATACAGAAATTAGCAAATACAGTATACTTTGTATTTGAAAAACGTGACGTATTGATTATTCTGCGTACAAAATAAGAACAACGTATTTCTTTTTCTTTAATAGAAAGCCTCAATACCTTTAAATATGCCTATCCAATCGTCAACTTCACAACAACATCCGATAATAATAGTTACGCCTGACATATCTGGGTCCAGACAAGAACCATTTATTTCTACCAATAAGTGAGCAGCTCTTTTGTTAAACTATTCTTTTCTTAGTTTCATACAATCTTTAAATTATTTTTAGATCATCGATACCAAATCCATTCCTGTCTGTTGATCATATACGTAGTCGTTCAACTTCATCGCCTCAGGAGCCAGTTCAAAAGTGAGCTTTCTTATTATTGCTTATATATAGGAACTATCGCCACTTAAAAATGAAATGTGGGCCTACTTCTCACTAAAAACAAATATTATAGGAGTTCGACATATTTGAGGACAATAAAAGAAGTTTGGTACGTTCGACATGTATCTGTACAAGGAAAATAGCTACTTAGTTTTTTTCTTATTGTGTGATGTGATTTCTTCTTGAATTCTTTTTTTTGAAAAAGTAATGAAAAAACTGTTGGGCTTAATATGACCATGTCTTATTCTTTGTCATAATAATTTGTATGTGTGTTCTATAAAGACCATTATATTCAATATGATATCGGTGATAGGGTTCTCCAAAACATGCATGTTTTTCAGTCATCAATGCTGTTTGAAAACAGTTAAAAATAAACTGAATCTCAGTATGATGTGACATAAGCAGGAAATATAAAACTTTATATCTTCTAACGAGTTTTCTATTATTTATTCAGAGGAACTAGTGCCACTGCTGCAGCATCTTCATCGACTTCAGACGACGATAGCAATGAAGATTCAGATGATACGAGTGAAAATGAAGAGTCTGAAGACGAAATTGAACCGTCAACAACGAAAGAACGAACAAATCAGTTAGGAGGAACATTACCAGCGTCTTCTACAAATAGAACAAATTCTTTTATTCGTTCATCATCATCGACAGCTTCGAATACAGCTGTTCGTTAACGTTTTGTTATTCATGTTTTTTTCTTCTCTTTACATATATATATATATATGTACATTTCAACATTCCGGTGAATGAATACATTGTCCTCGAGTACAGCAATCAGGGATTATTACATTCAAGCTTGTTTTTTTCATGCTCAACGAATAGAGCATCAGTTGGCCTGGTCTTTGTTTTCTTTATGATTATACAAGATTATAATTTTTCACGTTCCAGCATTCTTTTGTTATTGATCTCACCTATTATAGATCTCTCCAAACGTCTTTTAAAGCTCAAGGACGATAATTTTACTTATTAAGTCGGAGTTCTTTTATTTATTTATTTTTAATATGTTGTTAATATGTTTTCTCCGGATGTTTATTTTTTTTCCAGTGAAGTAACAAACCGTGATGATAATAATGATAATGGTATTCATTTATTTTCTCTATCATTCATTTCTTTCCTGCTTCAACTAAAACCGTGCAATTGACTTCTATTTGTTTCAGTATTATTAAAAGTCAAAGTGTATTATCCGACATTCGGTTTTTTTTTAATCTATAGTTGTATGTGAAAATAAACGCTATGGTTACTCATTTCGTTTTAGTGAAAAACGTTTACCAGAACGAAAGACACAATCCATATCACAAAAGGAGTGGCTTTTATTAATTATTCTATAGCTTCAAAGTAATTGAAGATCAGACACGTATTTACAAACTTTAAAAACGGGTCATGTTGTATGTTCTTAATCATGAATCAATTCTGTTTCATTCGTACTATCACTTGTTTTCAGATAAACTTTTTCACCTGGTCTTACTGATGCATTCAGATTACTATCTTTCTGCCAGATACTTATTTCATTCAATAAGTTCGGATGAATATCGACGCCTAATATGTAATTATAGCCTTTATGTGCCATTATTCTTAACAATAATTGACTAGTTAAACACAGTTCATCTTGTGCTACTGGATCGTGTAAACGGCTATTGCGATCTGTATTACATGGATCCACAAGTCCAGATGAATTTGGTAAAAATATACCAGCAGATAATAATTGAATAGAACGTCTAAAGCAAAATAAAGTCGAGCGTAAATAAACTATAATATGAACAGTGAAGATCATAAAACAGTTAGTTAATATTCACTAAGATCGATAATTTTGAACAAGTATTTGAAGCAAAAAGAAATTGATGTTTAGTACTACAAAATCTACTTGAAGCTTTTCATTCAGTTTAAAATGCATATTTGAATGACATACCGAAATGCAGTATTGATTGGCAGTGGTTCATGTGTTGGATTGTTCATAACACAATGATGAGCCTGAAAATAAAACAATAGAAAAAATGGTTGATTCTAGAAATTAGAAATAAAATACTCCTTTAAACAGGTTGAGCCAACTATCGGTCAACCAACGTACGGAAGTATGAACAACACCTTTTCTCTTAAATCAATCTTGAACATGCATCATTAGACTCTGCTCACGAAAATCAACTTTAAAACTGAACGTTGAATAAAAATGTCAAACAAATTTTTCAGTTTAAATTTGCTATTCTGAAAATCTCTTTATGAAACTCTAAAAGTCATTTTAAAAGAGAAAGGAATCAATTTTTACTGGACTCTGAATTAAGAATAACGTTAGCAAGGGTTTTCTCAAAAATAATATAAAGAACAAAGATGAAATTCTGTCACACTCACTTACACAAATAGTTAGAGAAAAAAGGACGAGTGATTCTGATACATCCAGTTCTCAGCTTTAATTAGGTTATCAAACGATTTTTAGAATAGCATCTACATGTGTTGCATACCAATAAACTGATCATCCATGCCGTTAATGGTTGAAACGCTTCAAAACGTCTTCGTAAATCTTTAATTAAACGGATCAGAACTTTGATACTAAACGCCAAACAAAAATAAACTTAATAATAGTTTTTCCATTTCATACATCTAATCATACCTTGGATGAGATGCGTTCTCTTCAAGCCATTTTGCGTGTCGAATAGCTGCCAAATGCTGCAAACAAATATTTTTATCAACTAAACAAATATATTGAAATAATTTGTTATCATCTTTTTCCACGGAAACAAAAAGTACATCAGTCATACGTACGATGTACATTTGGCACCAATGAATTGATATTTTTTGTCGATGTTGTAACTAATAATTTTACTTTTATATCATTCATACACATTTCAATACCATAAGTTGTAACTAACATGGTGATTAACTAGAAGTAGAAAGAAACAAATTTTATAGATACTGGTAAAGAAGTTGAGGACGTAAGTGGAACTACTTGCCTCATTTGGAGTACATATTTTTGTAACATCATCATTCAATTTGTTACCAAGCTGACCGATAGCTTCTTCTGAAACAAAGAATATACTGCTATTTAGTAAATAGGTCTAAAGTATTTTTTAATGTCTGTACGGTACAACAAGTTTTTGACCTTTCTTAACTCCCTCACCGTCTTTTTTTCTCAGTCCTTAATTTTTTAAAGAACATGTGTGAGTATCATTATTTTTCCAAATAGATTGTTTACTAATTCCGTCGAGAGTTAGCTATTTGATGAGTAATCATTAGTTACTTACTCGTAGGTAATGTTTTCAAAATAACAACAATATCGGCTTCTTTATGACCAACGAGTAATGTTCCAGCTTTGAATGATCCAACTTGACGCGTTTCTTCCACTTGCTACATGAAAAGATATATAATACTGTGAAGAAGACCATCTATTCGTGTGATTTGATTCAAGAAATACATACACAAGCAGTGAAACTTGCAGCTGATAAGACAAGCGTATCTAAAACAGACTGCACTTTGGTTACAAAATTTAATATTGCTGAATTTTCTTCGATTGGCGGAATCAATTCTTTATTTCGTTGAATAAGAGCCTGAAAAAGAAGTGGACAGGTTTTTTCCGAGATACTAGTTTTGCAATAAGAAAATAACATCTTTTCTAACTTACATCCGTTAAATCATCAGGCGATTCATTCATGTACGGAAATGGTACCTCATTCTAAATAAAAAACAATATTATATTTCATCACGATGGCTGCTGTCTTTACCTGATATTGATGAAGATCAAATGTGGTATGTTGATGTGTCATTTCCATTAAATTTGCTGGCCTGAAGAGAAGCAAAAGTTAATTGGATGCACAAATACGAACAAAGTCTTCTGTCATACCGAGGAGATTGAAACGGCATTCGATTCATCATTCCGCCGGAACCAGCTTGAGAGTAATTACCATTATTTTTTGCTGGATTATCAAACAAAGGTCCAGACATAAGAGGTCGAGGTTTCATCATCATTGTCCACAGAATATACAAATCTGAAATGATTCCGTACATAAAACTGATTTTATGATCAAGAGTACAAATATATGATTTTAGAATCATTTTATGAATGTTCATTTATTTTTGACTAACAAGAACCTAATCGTAATATAAAAGCAACATAAAGCTGTGCATGTGAGAATACAAACAGTGGAGACAACAAAAGGTATCTAGTCGTTTTTTATCGACCTCAGCTTATTTTTCATACCAATCTTTCTGTTGAATATATCACCAATGTTGAGATCAACGATGAAAATATAAGAAATATAGTGAAACTATGGGTCGATTACTTCGCCAATCAGAAAAAAAATATTTTTCTCAAAATCTTCTCGTATTCCCATGTCGACAGGACACCCTAGCGACACATGTGTCGCTAAGGTGTGCTGTCGACATGGGTTTTTAAATAAGGGAAACAATCATTTTCAATAAAAATGTCGTTGCAAGAGAACCGAAAATTTCTCAAACCGAATCAATCCGACCATGACAACTGTTATTAGATTATTTTTTATTTTTTTTTCGGTAGCGCCAAGACGCACCTTCAAAGAGGATGAAAATAACTTTTCATTGGGTGGATATTTTGACAGCTTAGAATCTGCTGTGGCTATTTTTTTACAGACAAAACAACAAATTAAATGAAAAATCAATTCAGTTTTTCATCGTTGTTTTGTATATAAAGAAAATATACTAGCTACTCACTGTCGTTTTTTTCCAAAATTTGATCATCACGCTTTCATCAAATTTTTTCCACTACTGGTACTATTGGTAATGTACATAACTTATATATTTATTTGTTACTTGTAGTATCAAAAACATTTTGTCTTTTCTTTCAGATGTTGATTCCCGCATTACTGGCATTAATTTTCGTTATACCAAAAGGTATTTTAGTGTAGATCCAATTCTACGGCTTTAAATAATAACTTTTGCTGTTGTTTTTTTTTTTTAGTGTCAACTTTGGAGTGTTGTAAGTGTAGTAGTCAACAATCGTCTGTTTTAGTAATAGTCCTTCTCTCTATTGAACTTTTTGTTTAGACGTTTGTGAACAACAGGAGGGAAATGACGACAAGTGTGTAAAAACAGTTCGAATGTGCCAAAAGTATGAGGATACATGTGCATCGTTAATATTATGGACAACTCCACACGAATGGACACCCAGAGGCGAACGACGTCATTATATTTCAAAAGGTTGTGACACAAAAGACAAGTGCACACAATGTAAGTACCAATTTGATGTAGTTAACTTTTACTGAATGCGAATTATGATTAACCACTCGACATCATCAGATTATCCAAGTTCTTTTCACATCTGATTGATTAAGTCGCGAGCAAATGAAAACTATCTTGTGAATCAAAAATTTACCATATCGTGAACTAAATCGAAAACGATAACAGTCTCAAAATTTTTACTGTACCCATCAGAGATAGGTAAATGATGCACGATTTGGTGTTGTAACGTTTAGTGTTATATGGTCTTGCTACAGTCTGTTCGAGAAATTGGTATGAAGACTGGGCTTGTGTCGAATGTTGTCAAGGTGATCGTTGTAATAGATACGTTGTTGTAAGTATGACTACAATCTAAATCCCAACACTATTCGACATTTTCGTTGTTGTTTTTACATATTTAGCTCAGCTCCAACATAACGAATCCTTCCATGTTTTTAATAACGTTGACTGTAGTTTCAACTTTTTGTATGTGGAGTAAATTAGTGCACTGAATATTTTATGAATCGTTTTTTTGTTTTAAATACATATGTTTACATTGAATGTTGCTATACCTCTTTTGACGACTTTATAACGCGCTGATATTGTACACAAGTGATCAGTGTTTCATATAACTACTTTTTGTTTTGTACATTGATAGTTGAGTCAGCCCAATTTACATTTAATTTTTTTAAATTAATTATACCACGTGCACTTTGTGCTATTTTTTATATATTTAGAATATGCTATTACTTATTTTGTGATGTCAACCTGAATTATGCGTTTCCATTCCGTTCATATATTAACATTCCTTTTCTATAGTAAATACTTTTCTACATTGGTTTCAAAATTGTTTGATGAAGTTGTTGTTTAATGAAGGTGTTTTTTTTGTGACTTTTTGTTTACTTTATAAAGTTTTGTGTCTCAGTTTTTACAACTAGGCTATATGTCATATAATTTAATGTCTCAAATAATTTCTTTACCAATAAATTTTTTTTGTACAGAAAACAAGAGAGTACATTGATCAAGCAACTGGTGAATTATGTGACATTCGTTTTAAGCCACTTTTCTCATATTTTTTCAAATTGAAAAGACCACATACTCACGTATTCAGTGTTTTCGTCACAAATTTTTCAAGGGGGGCGGGGGAAGTTTAGGGGCTTACTCCCAGTTTTCGAAACAAAATTCTATTTGTAACAAAAGTACTCACCAAAAAAAAAGTTATGAACAAAAATTTCTCTCGTTTAACGCTTTTTCTAACTTCTTTTTACTTGTGTTTAACTATCATCAACAAATATTTTAACATTTCGAGATTCTGCTCTTGTAGGATTAGCATAAAAATTAGAAACTTTTTTTAAAAATATAACAATTTACAAATACCGCATCTCCTTTTTAATTGATAAACTAAACCTTAAATATAGGCCTTTTCGATTCTTTTATGTCATAGCTATAATAAATGTGTTTCATAAACGGCTTTTAAAACTATTAATACGGCAAAATTCATGTTTATGGTCTCATTATTAACATACTTTTAGCTTACTTTATAGAACATTACTTAATTCGTTTTATTTACTCCGGGTCTTTGATCTACTTCAAGATTGCTAACTCTGAGTTCCAGTTACTCGGAGTAAGTGGTCTCCGAGTAAGTGATTTTGGAGTAACTTACTCCGAGTTTCAAACGAGGGGGCGGAATTTATTGAACGATGTAAGTATGTGAAGCAGTTTGCAATTGTCATTCACTGCAGCCCTCGTGTAAAATATCCGTATACACAAAATTCTGAAATACAACAATTGTTATTTTTATGTGTTATTCATGTATATTTAAAGATGTTCAAAAGTATTTTTCAATAATTATTTTATTGCAGAAGTGCTCAACCGAGCTGTACCATAACTTCAATACCCTGACTTACATCAACAGAAAGCGACAATAGTTTGTAAACTACACGTGTTTCTGATGATTCATCGCGTGGAAGATAAACGAAAAATGAAACATAGTAAACATATTGACGGATACATTATGAAACAGGACTTGATGAAATTAGAAAACGAATCTTTAATTAGAGCTCTACCGTTTAGTGTATCTTTATCTGTTTCTTGATGTCGCATGCAGATTATGCTTTCTTTTCTGTATGTACCCTTATGTCTGACATACAGATATCTGCATGCGACATCAAGAAAAAGATAAAGATACGTTAAACGGTAGAGCTCTATTGGACCAGAAATGCGATAAAACTGCATAGACAAACAGGCTTGCACTTGTTGAATGAAAATCTCTTGTAAAAGAGAAGCGACGTGACATTCAAAGAATGGCCGATTAGACTTTCGAATGACCACGTGTAACCTGAAGATCTCATTTCATATGATGTTGTACAAGTATTCCCACGCGAAGGTGGGAGTGGACAGATTCCGACTTTACTGCAGTGTCGGACCCATCCTGATCGGG